CAGTTAAAAGTTAAGAAGACGGTTGCAAAATGAACCACTGAAGCATACGTGGAAATTCGGTTATCAATTGAATTTCAGACAAGTTTCGTCATCTTCCGTCCTAACGATACATAAATACACTGACGTGCTTCAGTGGCTTATTCGTTCTTCATCCTCGAGTAAGCCTATTTCGCTGAAGTATCCAATTCAACAACAAAGTATACGTGTGGAAAAAAATGTGAAGATTTTAAATTTTGATGAATGTTTGGTATGAAGATATAGTGTAAAGTAAAACATTGATTGCCTGTTTTGTGCGACACCAATTGCCATCGAATAAACTGAGTTTGTGACATAGGAAAGCAGTGAGGACAAGTTTACAAATATCTGACCATACACACAAACGATAGCTTATCATATGAACATAATATAATCAACTTGAAATACTTTTATATAAGTGAACAGTACATATTGTATTAAATACAAATAAAGAACAAAATTGAGAATGAGATTTCTTATTTTATCTCATATGAGAAGGTAATTCTGAAAGTACAGGGAAAAATAAATTCAAGAATTATACCGAACCCTTGTCGAAGGGTAACTTCAATAAATTGTGAATTAGACTGTACTGTACAAGATTCGAGAACATCGAAACAATACTAAAACTCGCCATCATTATTTAATGCGACAATGTATCTTTTTCTTAATTATACGTAAATTTTACATCTATGTCTATATTACTAGGTTACGAAGGTATGTGAATGTTTAATATTTACAATGATTAAAAACCCACATAGTACGAATAAAATAACATAATAGATAAATAAAGTAATAATCTTTACCCTTAATGCCCCCCAGATTACAACCACACCATGTGCAATAGCGAACTGAAACATCAAAAATATATAATGTCTAAACACGCAAGCATGTATCAATTTGTAGATGTTTGATATCATAATTCTTAAAAACAATGCAACGTTAGCATAATCCCCATAGTGTGAGATAAATACTTTGTCCTAGTTCCATGTAAGTGACAAAATTAATACAAGTTGAAATCATAAGAGCTGACTTAACGATTGCTGGGTGACTGCACAATTCCTGATAAAGAACAACATTTTGCTTATACAATGAAAAATTAGAACGATCCGGAACATAACAACCTGGACTTAATTATATGGTACATGACAACAGAATACACCTTAATTAACATGAATATGATACACTTTAGTTATCAAGAGGATAACACACACAGTCAGTTATCTGGAAGATAACAAACACCTTCGTTATTATACTCATTTTTTTTACACTTTTTGTGAACAGTGACAATAATGTTTGTTTAGCATTTAACACCCAACATTGGATATCGACATCGTCACCAAAATTTAGTATCCATTGGTTGTTCAGTCAACACAAAAATAATCAACCCTGTCTAAAAAGGACCCCAACATGACGTGACAATCGCTACTTTTGTTTGCAATGACACTATTGTCCACAGATGTTATATATACAAACAATAGTTAAACATTGCCACAAATTATGTATTAGACCAATTATTTGGAATTGAGTATCATATCATATCATCATCTTTATCACCATCATCATTTTCGAGTGAATGAAGATTACAATACATATTCTCATCAACAGGATCACTGTTCAACAATGTGGTACTAAATTTTCAACAATTACAAAACAGGGTTCCACCAATCACACGATGGTGCACATCGCACTAATGATGAAATCACTAAATGTCAAGAGAAACATAAGTCTTTCACGAATCAATAAGTCAGCCAGTTAAACAGTTAAAGTATCACTGGCTGATTCGTTGATATTTCACTGTCTAGGGTCAGTTTGAGTCGGATTTGAATTTTGAGGGAGTTGATGAGTTCGTCCATCTGTGATTGTAGGGTATTCTTGAATATTTTCTCATCTCGTGTTTTGATTAATACCTGAGGCCATCGCTGGTCCATGTACGTATGTATGTATAAAGGTATTTTATAGCTATTTCCTTTTACGTAAGCTTCATCTCTCACTCCTACTCCTGATTGTCTTATCAGCAGTATCGTGTGCGCAAACCTAGGGGTGACGTTAAAACTTTCAAATGTCCCTTTTTGTCACGCCACAGCCGAGGGAAGACTTTCTTGCTCCCTCGACTGAACATCAATTTATAGTGACGCCATTTATATCTTTTACAGGTATGCATCCTCATCTATCTGCTTTCTTCATGCTGAGCTAGTCAATAGAATAGGTAACGCGATCGTAGATCTAAATCTAAATAAAAAATGTAATCAATTGTGAATATCCTACTCGGTCAAAGGCATCGCGTTGCACAAGATTACTAATTCAAACACTAGGTTAAGGCACCATCCCGTAAGTAAGATTATTAGTGAAAGGTATGATTCAGTTCCATTTCTACCATGTATATATTATATTTATAGTTTTACACAAAATATCATTAAATGCTACTTTTTAATGTTGTGACGTCACACCTAACGAGTGCCGCCAAAAGCATCCATTGTTACATTCAATGTATTTAAAGTAACAGCGTTCGAATATTGTATTTAGCTATTCTATTCAACGTAATTGTATTAAAATACTGCATTTTAGCAATATATTACAATATCAAATTATTATATGCTAAATTCTTGTATTTTCTGGACTTTTTGTCACGCCACAGCCGAGAGAAGACCTTCTTGCTCCCTCGACTGAACATCAAATGATATTGATGCCATTTATATCTTTCACAGATAATAAATCGTGTTTCACCATCTTCACCGCCCCTGTCCACTTAATTACATCGTCGGCAAGAACTCGCGACAAAAGGTAGAGCCACAACATCATTGACAACGTCATCACAACATCAGCATCAACACGGCCGATTTCATCCCCTTCATCTACATCGAAGTCGTTATCGTCCACGTGATCATCGTCATCAACCATGACACCTATATCACCTGAATCATCTTCAAAGACTTTTTAAGTACATACTTTGACATTTCGAATGGTTATATAATCATAAATCTACATTGTCAAGCTGTGACAATTTATATTAATACTGTGATATTCAAGGACATTATATTCAGGCAAGTTTGCATCGTGTTGTCTCCACATGTACTTGTGTTATTATCGTATCCCAATTGCGTGGGTCGATGCTTATGATGTCAATCGTCTAGATCTGGCGCTCGGCATTAAGGGGTTAAAGCAAGGACTAGTCGGCTCGGAGTCTGAGTAGGGTATTCATGTTAAACTGCGGCATGGCATCTCAGTGGGCTTAAGACTATAAATCGGCATCAGTCCGGACTAGTACAAGCAGCCACACACACACACGTGCATGCACGTCGCTATATAAGTGCAATAATCTTGGACGCGACGTTAAACCCAATTTCACCTCACCTATGATGTCAATCACTGGATTGTCTGGTCCTGACTCGTTTTTCACAGACTGCCGTCGTATAGCTGGAATAGTATGGCGTTAACATTAACTTGCTGCTGTATAATGTGAACAATATACGTATCAAATACTAGTAAATAAGACACCCGATTCAGATAGAAAACAAGTCTCATTTATAAATAAAATGTTTGAATGTATAGATTGTATAGATATCATATCTTTCACGTATAGACGGCATCTTTTATACAGGGAAACGCCTTGATGTGACTGGAATACTGTTCACAGCGGCGTAAAACCTTCACTCAATCCTTCATATAGAGAACAAACATGTCTCATATAGATGGCCAAATCGTCACATAGAGAGCTACGACTGTCCCATAAAGAATCCTAATGTATTCCAAAGATATGTTTTCCAAGATGTCCCGAATCTCTGTTCGTTCTATTTCACTTAACCAACCTTAAAAGTGGACGATATCGTGTATTGCTTCGAGTGTCACCTTTCTCACCCGTCCATGTGGAGGTGTAGAGTATTTCAATGGATCCTAACTGTACATAACGTCGACTAAATGCACAAAATATTTTTCTAAAATTACGATTTTGACGGCGATCGGCAAATCTTTTGACTTCTTTTGACGACAAATTCAAACAGCTAACTCTCCACATGACTAAATATTGGTTGCAATAAAAGACTTCGAACGGCAATATATTATATTTGGTGTTGTGGTCTTAGAAGTTTACACTATAAATATGCATACCATTATGGGCAGTGGCCGGATTTCAGTACCAGTTAAGACACCTCTTGCTAACATAAGGATAAAACGAACACTGATTTGACGCATGCGTGCCTTCTTATGCATCTTGTGTACTGTTTTTCTACTGTTCAGTGATATTACAAATCAGACAATGAGAATTAGTTTGTCCTACATATAAAAGCCTGGTCGCTTACAACGTGCATTCATTTACCCGGGAGAAATGTGTCTCTGCAATTGATTTACACCTGATGGAATCTTATCCCATGTCTATATTTGGGTTTGCAGTTGTCAGGTTTTCTTTTTTACCATGAAGCAACCCATGCTTGCCATAAGAGGTGACTATGCTTGCGGTATGGGGCGACTAACGGGATCGGGTGGTCAAGCTCGCTGACATGGTTGATGCATGCAATTGTGTCCCAGTTGCGTAAATCGATGCTCATGATGTCCATCACTGGATTGTCTGGTCCAGACTCGATTATTTACAGACCCTTGTCATGTAGCTGAAATATTACTGAGGGCAGCGTTTAACAACAAACACAATCAATACCATACATATTTATTTAGAAACGTTATGATATTACCTTGGTTAGGGGCTGGAGAGAACGCGGAAGTAATATGCTCTAAGTTTGTGGTCAAGTATTCTAGATAGATCGAATTCAGCTTGTATGGCCCCTGTAACAGATGTCTCTATGGCGAGATTATCCTGTCTCTCTATAGTGGGTAATTACTGTTTAATGTCAAGTTATGAACCAATGTTTTGTTTTTCGTGTTTTAATTTGCACGAGTACAAGTAATTCATAATTGTAAGTACTTAATGAATTAACACAGGTGAAACAGTAAATGGAGGACATTGCACTTCAGAAAAAGAAATATCAACACAAGTACAAGTTGTGACATTTTATTCATAAACAGCAAGGTAAATCAAATCGTTTATTAAATCCAGTTCAGGCAAATGAAGCAATAACACTCATTCAAAAACTTAAACCAACATCTATTATGACCACTCGGTAGGAAAAATAAACTTCGTCAACCACAATTTATTCTGCTTTCATTTCGTATATCAACTGATGACTGATATGGTTGAAATCAAGGGAATTGTAATGATGCCCCTACCTTTACTTACACCCTGTCGAAGGTATAGTGCACGAGAACAAATTCATGTATGTTTGTTATCTGTCAGGGACCAACCATTTGGTATTCGGGAGGAGGGTGGGTGCTGGGATTTTATGGGAAAAACATGTCCAAGAAATTGCTTCAAACAATAGAAGTTATTACGTTTCAGCCTGTTGAGAAAAAGAGATAACACAGAGATAACATTGTTGCTAGGTCAGTTTTGGTTATAAGAAAATAACTGGTTTTGCAGCTGAAGCTGAAAAGTATCTTGTCTCAATACAAAATCCAACGTCACATCATACATTATGAGATGTGCAACATAAAATACATACTGAAACGTTTCAGTATCAAATAACATGGTTATGGATATTTGAATAATGAAAAACCAAGACACGGAAGGACCTTTCAGCTGTAAATGTGGGTTAAATCACAATGACATTGATACATGAAACTGTAACTACGTTTGGTAATCAAACACGAATGAAACAAGTTAATATATATGAATACGGGTAAAACAATGTCCTACTCCAGTAGTATTTACATGATCAAATTACACCGCTGTGGACCTTCAGCGTGATGACGTCGCGTGTGAACGTTACGAGGAAGTTTCAGCATATGTCGGAACGGAGATCCTATGATTTTATAGCCCATTAGTACCCACATGTACTCAGTTCATACTGCACAGAACGTTCGATACCTTTCAACGTCAACCGTTCTACATCTCTGTGGTTGTGATTTATTTCTGCGCGCTTCTGTCAACTTAAGCGTTAAAAAAAAGTCATACTCGGTTTTTTACCTATGCATGTACCCACAGAATATACAAAATACTACACAGATACTCCACACCTAAGTAAGAAGATAAAAGACAAAATGTACCCAGATAATTAACAATATCAAAATCACCGATGCAAAACAAAACGTTCATGGAATGACAACATTGAGTTAACAATTAAATAGGAACTGAAAATGAAGCCAAAAGCGAGGCTCCAAGTAACAAGGACATGGCGGCAGGAATCACACCACGCCCTGCCACAGGTGAGTCTGGTGTGGAAGCAATATTTGTGCCAGTAGTGAATGGTTTTGATGTTGATAATGATGATGTTTCTTCACGAGAAATGTGTGTGGGTGAAGCAGAAGTTAGGCCTCTTGTGTCGTTAGAAACACGGGCTGATGGCGTAGTAGGACCTGTTTTCGATGTTATATCTTTAGTCATGGTGATAGAAGGTGTGCTCTCTGTAGATACTAATGTAGATACCGTTATGGTTATGTTCTTACTTGCTGAATTAATAGGAATACCATTGTCGAATGCAAGAATTGTGATGTTGAAGCTGTCCCCGTCTATTAGAGGAACTATATTTCTAACAACCCCGGATTGCCCATCAACAGAAAATGTTTTACCATTTTCAATGCTGTATGATACATTATTCATGTCTAGATCTGTTGCTTTCGCGGTCAGGATATCACTGTTTGGCTCACGGGGTGATATTTCTAAAGTGTGTGGTATATTTTGAAATACTGGTGGATATATATTTTTCGGACCAAACACAGCATTATAAACAGATACGTTAGACTGGTGGTTATTGTTAGCAAACAGATGGAAGTAAAATGTGTTCTCATAATAAGAAGTAAGCCAAGAATTCTGAGGAATAAGTATATTCTTACCATCATCTTTAGTAACTTTAAGCAGTGATTCTGATGACAAATCTCGCGTTATGTTATTGATGACCCGAGCATATACCCACGACTCATTTACTTTTGGAACCAAGATCTCAACATACATATATTTCTTCCTTCCTCTGAACTCCTCCTTTGTTTTAGAAAATCCAATTGCTGATACAGAATCTACTGGATATGAATAAAACCCATTAGAGCTGTCATAGAGTCTGTCGGGAAGATTGTCCTTGTCAACAACGTCATTGACAAGAAAATCATCCAAGCCATCTGCACCTATGCTATCAATTCTAACCTGATGAATCATGTCATGGTAAGATATAGATTCAAACACAGACAGCTGGGAATCACCCAGTGGATTTATATTTTCAAATGTGGCCGAATAGTTGTAAAACCTGCCCTTAAGTGTTGACGTCATCCACCATCGAGCTGTTTTGGTCTCGCGGCTGACGATGTCACCAAAGTCAACAGTTAGTGATGGTTGAATGGATTCCATCCCTAGTTGTGCCCTGGTGATTTTAAACGACACAAGCAATCCTTTTTCATTTTCTATGATTTCTGGTTGCCCAGAGGATATTTTTACCTGTCGTGCAATCCCATTACCCTTATTAGTTACCATTACTGCAAGGGGGAACGGAACCACGGGTTCCACTTGGGTCGTCATAGGGTCATCGCCTTGCACATACTTTTCATGGAAGTAGGCAAGTGTTAGACTTGGATTTGGCGTCACAGTTATTGTGTCTGGTAGAAGCGGGACGTTGAATTCCTTGTCAGCCACAAAATATGATAGAGTTCCTCCAACATCATAGTTGACATCCTCATCCACAGCTGCACCTGTGTAAGCTACAATCAACCAGTCAGCTGAACCCTTGACCCCGTTGGCTAATGTTCCAGTTCCAGACACGTTACTGATCCCCTCTAACTTTGGCTGACCTGTTTTGAAAAGACAAGCACAATCGCCCAATGATAATGTGAAACAAAATCAATGAATATTTGAAAACTACTGTTGTATTTCTTTCCTTATTCATCTTTAAGATGCTATTAATGTTATTACCTAAACCATGTTGTACAATAAACATGAGATTTACAAAACTGACTTCACGTAATCTTACCAATAGAGAAAAGGTTATTTTTAAGAGATCCATTTCCCCCTGTTCTAGTTATGAAAATGTCCACGTCAATCTTTTCCAGAGATCCTTCTTCGCCATTTTCTATTTCTAATCGAGCCTGGAAAGCATCCCTGGTCAGGACAAGGTCCTGTGTAATCCGTATTCGCACTTTAGCGCAAATTCCTTCTTCTGGTTTTGCCTTAAGAACGAAAAGTACAACGGTTAATCAATAAGAAACATGCTTTACAAGAGGATCAGAAGAAAACAAATCCCCTCGGCCCCCATAGATTCTATTGAACAAATCTTCGGACTGTTACTTAAAGTCCAGCCTGATGAGATAATTTCTGTCTGATATGTCTGTCCGAAAACAAGAGTAGTTATTGAACTTTCAAAACAATAAAATGGAAGGTACACGCCAATATAAAGAGAGTGAAAGTCAAACTTGATGCCATGGAAACGGATGAAATATAATTTCAAAAAGTCCCTAAATAGCAAGAGGCACCAGATGACAACCTGGTTCCCATCTGTGCAAAGTTTCATGAAAGAATACATATTTGTTTTAGAGATATGATCCGGACAAACACACCACTATGAACAGAATCAAACTTGCCATGGCATTTTTCAATATTTCTCAATACCAAAAGGCACCACTTTAGCCCCCGATTAATACATGTACTAAGGATGAGAAATATTGAATAGTGCTTTTAGTTCTTTCCCGGAAACAACACCTACCTCTGTGTCAGCTAAGTCAAACGTATATGCCTCAAGGTGACGCCTAGCATATAATCCAACCAAATAGTGTTCACCAAACAAAACACAAGGGTATAACTAGAAACACATTACTACCACCTAGTCTACGGAGAATAGTCAGTCTCGATTTAACGCTGACACAGATTCCACACTGGGTGAGAGTCGAAATAGCGCCCAAAACAAGAAGTAAAAGAGTACTGTCAGAAAGCAAGACACAACATTAACTCCTTAAGACCTTTAGGATTAAATAGCAATGATCTTCATCCAATTGCGAGTGTGACAATATGGCTCAGAATGATACTCAAAACCAGGCTCTATGAACGTGAATTACTTTTTTACATCAATGGTCAACGTGCACGCCGATTTGTTCGAGGGTTCACAAAGATATTATGACCGCATTGTACAGGGTATTGATAAAATGTCTCCATTATTGAGAATCTTGGACAACTACTGCATATGTTGATAAATGTAAACTTTTTTCTTATATCGATTCTACCCTATGTTTGTAGATGTGTTAACCCATGGCAAGTTTGTGTAAGGTGTGCAGATTGATAGTGCATTAAGTTATGTGTAATAAGTAACATCTAATCACGGATCAAACTTCGAAATTCAAGGCATAGTTCATTTGGAGCAGCAAACTGAAGCACTATTGTTCACCACTGCACCACAGCTATATGTTCTGCTGTGGGGTGGATGCAGTTCCGGTCTAATTACAGCGAGGCAGCGTATACGCTGGGTAGCCATGTCCACGGTCCTTCAGAAGTCGAGTTATAAAATAAAAACCAACAACACTTTAACTCCCGACCTACAACACTCACAATAAAAAGCAACTGGCAATCGAGAAAAGCAACCTCCTTGTGGCAAGAGCCGGGTAATACTGTAAGCTTTTCCTTACACTCATGTTTCCATGTTGTCTGTGCTTCTGTTTGAACTATTATGTTATGATGCAATATATACACGATGTTTTTCGTTGAATAAATACATTTGGGAGATAAACATACTGTGTTTTCTATGAAGAGCTAGGTTACCTGTAGATGTAACGGCGCTAAATTTAATTTTGAACCGAACGCTTTGAAAACATAGAATCCAGTGTGTTTGATATGCCTACCGACAATGACTGAAAAGAACTATTCTATAAAATATTACCTTCCACTGTTTTAATCAGAGGGGGTTTATTGTGATTTGACAACCGCTGTCTGACCAATCAGAATCGAGTAATTTCCAAAATCATGATAGAATATCACGTATATTCACCTCTCCACGCGCTGATTCACATTTTCAATACATGTATAACACGACATTTTCAGTCAAAAGACCACATATTCCATATAACAAGCACATAGCAATTTCTCACACTTTGCCATTTACAAAATGTGGTCACACTGAATCAGGTCTCAATCACGACTTTATGGAATTGTGTCTTCAAAATTGCTAAACGTAAATATATTACTACATAAGCGACCCAAATAACCCCGGTCGGGTATGGAGCGATCTGGGGATTTTAAAAATACCGCGATACGATAAGCCATGAAACCCTGCGGTATTATCTTCTATGATTTTCGAACTAGGTGTGGTTTTATGACAAACCTAAACCTGATCTAGATTTCTCATAACAAAAAAAGATTACCTGCTGAACAAGACTTGTTAAATAATTTTTACTCACCTCTTGGACACTCTTCTTGTATTCTGTCATTGTGTAACCAAAATATTGGAAAACACTTGAAAATCCTCTCTGAAACAATACAAGGAAAATACATTAGGAGAAGGTCCGACGACACCTCCAGAGTTTCTGATCAGCAACTCAAGCATCAGGACTTTTCTCTTAGACCAGCACAGATGAGTTTTGTATCTTGAAAACGAACTTTGCCGAATGTACAAAACACAGGCCGCGCTACTATATTGTGGATATTTATACACCAGCTCGTTTCTGAGAGTCATAGCATCTACAGCAACCAAAGGGAGTACCATCGAAGGATGTTTTGTTTTGTGTTGGTTGTCGTTTGTTAAAATCGAACTCTCCGAATCGCCATTGTAAAGAAATGAAGCGGAATTGTTTTAGAACGGTGTCATCTGATTGATTCAAGAAGCAACGCAATCTAATGTCCAAGAGCTTGGATGGACACATTCACTTAAGTTTACAATGGGATCAAATTTATATATCTTATTTAAAATTTCTATTCGTCCACACACCTTACCACATTGTATAGTTATGTGCCATGAGAGACACAATAGCGATTTCTCTGTGAGATGCCAAGTAAACTTGCATTTAAATTGAGCTATATTCATAAATATTTTGGATAAAAACGAAGAGCTATTTGAAAGAATGTACAAATGAAGTATAACTACCTCTTTAACGGTCCTTGTATTTTCAATGAAGGTGTCTCCAAGGGTCCTCACATCTTTCAGTGACATAACATTTGATTGTGGCGGACCTGATATTCCGTCTATCCACGAAGAAAATGTGTTGTTCCATCGTTGTAGAAATGTATTTAATATAGTTCGATTGTCTTCAACCACCAAAAGTAATATGATGTCAACCTCACTGGAATCCAGGAGGTACTGTGACGGGCTGTTTTCGGACACTCCTTTAAAGAAGGCCTGTTTCCACTCGCCTTTAATGTCAACACTGGAATATATGATCACATTTATGCTGATATGAAATACCAATACCAGTGCCAATATAAAAAAAACTCTCAATATAAAGACATCAACAATGATCTTGCAGTAACTTGCATGCTGAAATATATGGAGACATCAGGAGAGTTCTTGCGATTACGTTTATGCTGAGATTACTAAACACCTAAATAGAGACTTGATGTAAGTTCTTGAAACAACTTACACACTGAGATTACCAAATATCTCAACTGAAACATCAACAAAGTTCTTGAGATAGTTTCTGGACCTCTCCACTTCAAGCACAAGCTCGGAGTTGACCTCTCGCCGCCTTCGTCCACTGCTCTTACAAGTTCGCGAGAGACCGTCAAGGCAGCTGGAATGAAAGCCCAATAGTATCACGTTGGTGGATGAATGAAGTGAATATTGCCTGACGCCGCAGTAAACATTATTAGAGCAATAGCATGGCAGTGTATAAATAATTGACTTCGAACAAGGCAAACCAGTGGCTGACAGCCGGGGCAACGATAAATGAAGTCTCAGAGCCTGATTGCAGTTCCAGTTTAGTCTTGTCTTACAATAAGCAAAGTCTTTTTTCTGTTGTGGTGTTTACTTGTACCCTGTAACAAAGAAACAATATCCGGACGAATGTTTTGTTTGTCTTCCTTTACACTTGAAATATTGATTTCCGTGTACTTTCACAAATTGTACCGAGAAAGCTTGTTCCTGTTCGTAAATTCCGATTATAATTACTGAAAACAATTATAGATTTATGTGTACTTTTTCTGTGTGCAACACTGAGCGACTGATGTCAGTTAACTAATACTATGCCATTGGGAAGTGAATATAACCAAAATGGCGAGTTTGGAATCATTGGAATGACAGTTGGTGAGCCTCAGAATGGTATGAAGGAATGGGATTGTGTATCTGAGTTGTCTTCTTCAGGATATATATATAGTTGCTGGGACGTTTGACTTGTCTATGTCAGAAATATGTTTGAGTTCAAGCGATCATTTCACAACGTTTAACGACAGCCAGCGTTCTTGTCTCTGTCACTTGTCTTTCGTCACTGTCAGCAATATCTGATCTAAAATACGATGGCGGCCTGCAATGATGTTTGTCTGGACCAGACAAATCAGTGGTTGATATCATAAGCAATACCCCATGCCGAGATTGACCAACCAATCCACAGTCGTCTCTTACGACAAGAATAGATTCCTGGGGTCTATTCTAACCACGAACCACCATGTATGTATACTTACTTGAGATATTTAAAAAGAAAGGGACAGACGGGACACGAAAGCCCAAATCCACAATCTAGTGCATAACTTGCTACTGTTGTGGCAACAGAGACTGCAGATGATGACTTGTCGATTTTAGAGATGTCATAAAGATCCAATAAGCACCCAACTCCTGGTATCAGCTCAAAAGGGAGTCGAAGAAGTGGTTTATAGCAGTTGTCGATGAGCCCCTTTATACAGTCACAGGGTACATTGGTGCCCACATACCCACGAAGACGGTACCCACCTCCTGCTAAAAAACATTAAAAATATAACATAGCGTTTATTCAATGTCTTGCTTTGGCATGAATATGTCAGTGAATGAAAGCATGATCACAGATAGAAAGAAATATGAAAACACATTAGATTTTGAGTTACGTTTCTTGGTTTGACAGCGTCATGCCCTTGCTCAGAGTTTCACTAAGGTGATACACATGAAAGCCATGTATAACATTAGACTGTGCTCCCATATCAAACTGACCCATCGCGACATGACTGAAACACTTGCCAAAGAGGCGTCTAACCAAACTCGCTCATTCATAACGGTACCTCCAGACACTTGTCCTCTTATTCTGCGGCCCCTACCACCACATGATGCAGGAGGCTGACCTGGATACTGTCGTGTTAATCTCACGGACGCACTATTTGTTCTTACTGATCCACACGTATAGTCATAGAGCACGATAAAACCACACACTGTTGGTGAGGAACGTTTGCTTATCTTCTTTGGCAGCACATCGATAGGAACAATTATGCTCGTGTTCGCATCCAAATTTCCGAGCGGGTCGACAACCTGGAATATGAACATTGCAATTAATGAAATGCCGATGGTCTCTGAATGACCAACAACATAATATTAAAATATTTCGAAAGTATAAGGGGAAACCTTTTCTTTAAAATAGTAGATCTTCACTCCGCGGTTCCGTGTTAGTGTTCCCACATGTGTAAAATGCGTGAGCTCAATTACTGATTCCATCACTTCCATTGTTCCAAAAACGGAGATAGGATTAAGCGATTTATCCCTGTCAAGCACTTATTGTAGAACTATTCCTCTAAGTAATTCTTGATTGATGTAGACATGCACTGTTTCTAATAACAGTGATTATTTACGGGGCGTCCTAAAATAAACGAGGCACGGGTGGCCTAGCCGTCAAAAGAGCAGGAATTTGGAGTGCAGATGTGTGTCCCTTAGGTTTGCGAGGATGATACGATCGTTGGCTCAAATCCAATACTGGCCCTGGTTATGATTTTTTGTTTGTCAGCACCTGGTCGGGTCGAGGGATTTACAAATGTGGTAAATGTCTAAGACCTATATCACTTGATATAACTGACATCCCGTTCAAGGCGACATTATTAGCAACTTACTCCTCACTATGTCTCGTTTTTGTAAATGACAAGTCATACCATGCTGCCTGTGTATGGTCTTCTTAACATTTGATTGATATATATGTTAATCCCATCAGTATTTACCTGCACAAAGCGTAAAGTTGGATGGTTTGGTAGTGAAAACCTCACATTGTCTGCACGAATAAAGCCATGGTTGGTCAGAGTGAACACCATTCTTGTTAACCGTCCTTCTTCGTACGGAATAAAGTTGACAGAAGCAGGTTCTACGGTGACAACAGGCATAGGAACCTGTAACAGACAGTATACAAATAGCTCCTGACTTTTGATTTACGTTATCAAAACATATATATAAGATCTGCACGTTCTATTTGATCATGAAGCAATATATTGGTACCAGTCTTGATTTTACGATGATTGATACTGTATATGCATGTACCCTTGTTTCAAATGTTGACTCTAGTGTAATGGTGTACTTGTCCTCGAAGGTTGTCTTTGTGACAGACCACGTGTATGTTACTGCTGTACGTTGTAAAAAGACTCTGTATGTCGAGGTACTGCCGTCCACAACGATGATGACAGACTTTGATGTGTGGTTGGCTGCTTCAACTTGCAGTGTATACCGGTCTGCATGGATCCCATCAAAGTTTGAAATGCCTGTGGAAAAAAGGTTAAATTGTAAATAATACCAACAGTCACTTTTAGAAGTATCAATATACTAATGTGAGTTACATACATACACCTATTGCCATGATATTTAGGAAAGCGAAGTATAACTATTTGTATAATATGCACAACAATGATGATTTAAAAAAAAATATTTAAGTCATCATTATTAGCATTTGTCGATCCAGGACGAGGGTCAATAAACATGTGGTTTCACTTTCCAGTGTTTTTTAACCATTTAAAATCAAGTGTTATTGATACGTTCAGTGGGATATAGGGGCGCGGGTGGCCCAGTCGTCTAAGGCGCCGCGATTCGCTATGCAGAGTTGCGTCCCTTGGGCACGCCCGAATCCCGGTTCGCCCCGATTATGTTTCTAGGTTTGTCAGCACTATACCCGTGCTCGTGGGTTTCACCGAAGTGGTAAACGTCTGAGACCTGCATCACTTCAGGCTTTCCTCACACATTAAGCTGACACGCCGCGACATAACTGGAATATTGTAAAAAGCGCCGTTAAGCCCAACTCACTCACTCACTCACTTCAGTGGGATACAAAGTTGAATGATTCTTCACTGTACTACATAAGGAATGATACCTGTTTCATTTGTGATGAAAGTCTTGCTAAACATTCTCCGTGGCTGTTTCAGGGTCACCACGGCCTCAGCTAACAGTGGTTTATCGGCTGCAAAGTAGGTGTACTCATCCTCCACAATCACCTGGATGTCATGGCGGTCATCAGAAGTTATATAGAATGTGAATGTCAGCGTAGACGAAGAATCGTTAGAGATGATCAACAAGGTACCATCCGTTTCACCTAGCTGTCTGTCCATGGGCACGGTGTAGACCAAAACCACTGTCGCTGTTTCTCCTGGTTCTAGATCCATCCTCTCAGAGGAAGAAGAACGTCGTTTAGATATGGCTGCCACTTTCAAAAGTAATCCACTGGGAATTTGAACATTGACATCTCTAGCTGTTGCTTCACCGGTGTTTGTAACATTAATGTTAATAATTGTTTGTTTTCCTCTTGCAGCAGCTATCTTGATGTTAGATGGAGATAACTTGAGAAGGGGTCGTCGGATTTTCAGATTTAGTTGCACTCTTAATACTGTCCTTGTGCCCCGCACACTGCGTACCACTACATACAACTCTGTTTGTAAGGGCAGCTTCTGTTCAATGATGATATCAAATGGTACACTGGACAATGAAGGCAACACTGTGATATTACTTGTGCGTTGTTCACCGAAGTACACCCATGCAGAATCAACACTGTAGGAATAACTCTGAATCTGAAATGTTAATTCGTTTTATTTTAAGTCCACGCACTATTCCATAAATTATAGTGACGAGTAGATAAGAGGTGCACATATTAAGAAGTCATGATGCTGGGATTGAGGATTCTTGTATTCTGTGAGAACCCTCTGTCATGTACGTCTCTGACCCGTGAAGATCCGGGTAGAGAATAGGTGTTCAGCAACTCATGCGTGCAGTAAAAGGTGACTAACGGGATCGGCTGGTCAGACTCACTGGCTTGGTTGATGCATGTCAACGAATCCCAGTTGGGTACATCGATGCCAAATGAAGTCAGTCACTAGATTGTTTAGTCCTGATTCGATCATTTACAGCCACCGTCCAATAGTTGGAATATTTCTGAGTGCGGCGTTAAACAAACCCCAAAACAAGTATCTCTGTTTGCATGTGAGGCATATTTTCAACGCAACAATTTCCAAAAATATTCTTTTGCATGGTAACAATTCAGGGGTATTCTATTTTGAGGCCATATTTTCAATTCCACTGAACCTAATAACATGTAAATGTCAACATACCGTCGCAGAAATGTTATCCAGTGAGCCGAAGCCATTATTTGTAAGATTTGCAACCGCAGGAAATGTGGCTGTTGGCGTGTCAAGGTAAGCTGTAAGTGACACAACCTTAGGGTCACAGATCATGCTTTGGACTCGCCACTTCTTTTGCTCCAGAAACTCGGTATCAGCCGGATGACGTGCGCTCTTCAAATATCAAAGATTGCATATAGTGACAGTTAACGCATTGACATTATCTCGAAACCATTAGACACAAACATCTTTAGAAATACACGTGAATGATCATAAACAAAAGTTAAAACATTAGCAATTCAATAAAAAAACCTCAGATATACCGAATATATATCTTCAGATCAACTACTTACATGATTTATTCAATCAGAATACAATATATTTATTGCTAATAATCCGATAAGTTATAAATGCTGTAACATCTTTACATACCACACTGAATTCGCCACTGTCGTCTGGCTGGGGATAATAGATGACGTCAAACAGGAAAGGTGATGTGTCCTCAGCATGGGTCTCTAGGTCACGTGTAAGCTCTTTATTTCTAATCCTACATTTAAATAGTGCATAATTATTCAAATGCCGGGATACTGCTTGGGAAAATATGGATATTGGTTGAAAATACACGATACTTATATCTATACAACGTTGATATAGTTCTGAGAATGAAACAAAATATGACATTTGATCTTATCTGAAACGCACCACATGGGCTACTCACATTAAGAATATTTTGTTTAAATTAGGTTTTGGATATGTATGGTTAACACAAGATGTTGGCAATTTAAAGGTATTATATTCATCTTTTTAAGCAAAGATTATTTGATAACCTTCAACAATCATGGTGTAGTTCTATCAATAGTATATCTGATACCTTTTATTATAAACATTTTAAATCCCTGTTGAATGTAGAAAAATATCTTACACTCCCCATACCAGTATATCTGAGAATATGTATGACTCGTTTCAGATGTAGCAAGTTTAACCTTGCAATTGACTTGGGGAGATACACAAATGTCCCATACACTGAACGATTATGTAAATATTGTATAGAAAATGGTATATCTTTTATTGAAGATGAATTTCATGTTTTACTTGTATGTGAGCGTTATTCAGCCCTAAGAAATATGTATCTTAAACAGTATATCAAGTTTCAAACTGTAACATCTTTTACTGACATTATTTCATCAGAAAACTTTGATGTTGTATATAACACATGTTTATATCTATATAAAGTCCAACGGCTAAGAGAAACTTAAATCGACTACTTCCTTGGCATGCGTAGTTCATGCAATCAACCATTGTCTGTATTATGGGCCTATGGCCTTCTTACTGAATAAACTGTCTGAAACGCGTTCAAGTTTACTTAATAAATGGACAATTGTAGGAATGCTTTGAATAAATGAATGTCAAATTGAATTATTGTTACCCTTTTAAAACATTTGACTCACTTGCCATATATAAATACACTTACTGGACTTTAATTACTGCTGAAGTGAGATTCCAGGTGCTTCCAGACACATCAAGATGTCCAGATATAAGGATCTGTGTCGGGTATGCCAAAGTCCCAGAGGGGGTCAGACTGTCAACAACAGCACTGTAGGACAGCGGAATTGACAACAACCACTGGACATCGTCGTGCCCAACAATATTCTGTGCTCGAACTTTGATGACATACGGAGTAGATCTACCATTGGCAGAGATCCAAGTAATGTTTCCAGTGTCCTGATCGATCGTCATTCCCAGCGGAGATGAAATCAACTTCCAGCGAATTGTATGGCTACCCTGGCAACATATACGTTTACATTGCATGTGATGATCTTGTAAATGCTATATTGTTGCATGTAATCATTTCCTTGTCACTTTTATAATAATAATAAACACTAATGATAATACGTTTCATAAGAAGAAAAGATTTAAAAATACATGTATTTTCGTTCAGATGTCGTCTTGGTGTACTAAAAGGTGTCTACAGTAATCATACCTGCACAAGAGACATCATTTGCTTGTAGGTCTGGCCCTCAGTCAACTGTGAGTCATTTATGGCACTGACAACTGGCGGTTCGGCCTCTACCGAACATGAATCTCCTGTCCAAGGGAGAGTACACGTGCATTGTCCAAACAGGCATTGACCATGAGGTGGACTGTCTGTACTGCCACAAGCCGTTGTTGGACATTGCACAACAAATGTGTAAGAAACCTATTATTGAAGGAAAATGATGTCAGATCGGAGCTATAAGAACAATAAATTGGACACACGTTTGAACCAAAGCTAAGGAAGTAACATAAAAACATCAATTCTGAGCAGACTTAAAAGCATATTGATTTAGGCATTATCATATAATCTTAATCTAGCAAAATACAATTAAAGTGTATTGCCTTAAAATATATAAACTAAATGAAATAAGCTGCCTAACATGTTACAATGATTTAGTGAAACTTTCAAGCTCTTCAAATGCATTACCTTATTGCTTGTGAAGTGCACTCCGTCTGAACTTATCTCAACATGTACCGTTCTTTGGCTTAGTTTAGGTGAAGTACACGTGAGATGTTGTCGGCTAATCCTCGTTGCAGCTACGGTTGCTGCTCCAAACTTGCATTTGTAATTGCTGGTGTTTGAGAACTTGAAGTTATGTCCCCTTATATGGACAGGCGTTCCTCCCACGTCTGGTCCTGCATCAGGGGACACGCTCAGTACAGTTGGTAGAGGCAGGCAATCTGGTCCGTAGAATGTTTCACTGCATTGGGCACAGAGGTTGCCAGTCCAATTAGAACTCTCACAAATACAGGTTCCTTCAACAAACGGAAACAGTGTTGCTGTTCAACCAAAGGTTACATAAACCTAGAAGTTTGTTGATCCACACAATTTTGCTGCGAACAGTTTTGTCCAAATCAAAGGGGTATTCGATGGCTTTTCTATTGATGCTTGAGGTCACAAGGTACAACACTTTGGTCAGAATGGACAAGTAAAACTTGAATGTCATACAAGCAAAACATAATTTATTATATGATGGAAAATGGTAACTGGCAAAATGATCAAACTCGTTAAATATTGTTTATGTCAGTCGATTTTTAATCAAATACATTGATGCCTCTGATGGTAATTAAAGGCGGGAGATCAAAATGTGTCTTTAGTATATGCCGGTAGTGAGGGTCATAATGTAGTTTTAAACCTATATCACTGCCATTGTATCCAGTATTACAGTTTGTTCATAACATGTGGTCTACATATATACAGTCGAACCCTCCCTGTGCTGAACTTGGATGTGTCGAATTCCAGGTAGTCTCGAACTCATTTGGGAGTCCCTAGTATCCAAATTAAGCATTAACACTCCCGTGATGTGTTGAATCGCGGATAATTCGAGTTCGACACAACGATGTTCGATTGTATGTAGTAAATTGAAAAACAAAGGCTGCTTTAACGTACCTGTTTGTGTATCACATGAGCCATGTAGACACTTAGGACATGGTGCACAGTTTCGACCCCATGTGTTTGGTGCACAGGACTCACATGATTTTCCTCTATATTGGGAAAGACAAGTACATTTATCCGGCTCTCCACAGAACCCTCTCCCAGAACAGTTATTGGTCAGGTAGCAGGTAGCAACAGCACACGCGTTCCCAGTCCATCCATCAGCACACTCGCAGAGGTTGGGTCCGACACACCTTCCACCATTACATTCACTGAGGTCTGAACAGTCAAACTCAGTACAGTCCGCCCCCTTCCATCCACTGAAACAGCTACATCCATTTGGTCGAACACATTCTCCTTTGCCACTGCAATTGCTCACTTGTGAACAGTCAAATGCCTGGTTTACTGATATTGGTAGATGTATCACATTCAAGAGCCTTGGATCAGCAGATCGTTCCACAATTTTATCTTGGACCAAAACTTCGTCAGTCGTCCCCCACCAGTTGTAGGTAGCATTTATATAGCCACTGCCCAGTTTAGTAACTTTCAACTCATAGTCAGAACTTGGATTATCGAAAATGTTCTCAGATAATGTATAATTTTCTAGATGAAGAATGAGTGTCCCTTCAGTAAAAGTTGATTGTGATATCTGGTTAAACAAGAAGGATCCACTTGAGATTTTAAACGCTGATAAAGAAAATGCGCACAGACCAGATACATGACTGATTAGGTTGGATCTGACTGATAATGCTAAAGTTTGACTGCTCCATGATCCCTTCTTCAAGTCTATTTCAAATAAACATTTTGAATATGACGTGGCATTGTTTGCCTTGTTGTCCGTAACCAATACCTCACTAAAACCGGTGGTGACAATTGCAACAGTGGAATGACCTCTGAACGTATTTGAACTCATAATAACTTTTTTTCTGTCATCCCGGGCAGCTTTTCCAACCGCTGAAATTTGAGCTGATCCATAATTGTTGTCGAAGATGCAATCGCCCACTGTTATGTTTGAGTAGCCTTTATAGTATCTTGATGATATCAGGCGAATTGCAGGCTTGTTATTATGATCACGAAGAAAGCTGTTACTTAGCCTAATATGGTGATTTCCACTGAAAGAGTCCATGTTCACGTAAACACCATATTCCCCATTGTTGGATATGTCCATTTCCTCCAGGAAAATACTTCCTGTTTCGCCATTATGGTAAATTCCGCTCAAGGCATTGTTGTGCACAAATCCATTACGTAACAGTAATGCATTTGAGTGGATCGTGATACCATAGCTTTTACTTTTAATAATAGCAGTTCGCCCCAGGTTCACCATTGTTACACCAGACCCAATCGTCATCCCAGATCTCCCTGTGTGAGCGATACTGCAGTCAGACAGTGTCATGTTGTCTGTATAGGTCACCAAGCCGTTAAGTGATCCAGTTATATTGACATTTCGTAAAATGATCCCTGAAATGAAAAATCCTATTTAGCACACATTGACAGAAATAATGTATCTGAACACTTAAAATCATGAATGAATTTGTTGTATGATACATTATTATTTATCCTGTCAAAATAAGATTTCTATATAAAAGACGTTCAATATTTACATTTGTTTTTCTTGCATACATATGTATATCACATCAGAAGTGTACAGGTTTGCATGCAGATGTAGATGCAGATGCAGTATACCACAGTCGTTTGATAACGATATTACCTGATGTGTGAGCGAAAACGATTCCATGCCAGGGGTCATCAGTATGATTCCTGAGGACAATTCTCTCTGGACTGGATGATAGGGTCTCTACAGATCCTAGTGAATGAACGAGATGCCAACATTGTATATGTAGGATCACACAAGCATCTTAAGTTATATGACATAGTTTGACGGCAAAAGGTACCTATTTCACACAGAAGTCTTTGTCAAAAGCTAATCTGATAAATGTTTCATGCTTTCAATAATTTATATATTTTAAATCATACTGAATGCATTATATGGAGAATAGGACAGGAGGAAAGGTTCAGGTGATGTATGAAGCTTGAGGTCAAATAGCAACAGGGCTTGGTCACTCACCAGAGGCATAAATGCCTCTCTTTTTCATGAAGAGTAGCTTAACTCCAGCGTGAATAGCAAGTTTTCCTCCTCTTCTGTAATAATGATGAAGGATATCAAATAACTACCTTGTTTGATACGCTGAACCTTCCTATATGCATCAACCAGGCGTTTCTATTACAGGATTGATAATAAAGCGCACTTTACCTTAAGGATTTTGGAAAGATTTTGAGTCAAATCCGGCACATTAAACAAGGCTGTTTAACAACTGTATTCGGGGATTAGTTTAAGTTAAATCTACAATTATCTTTACTTAAGTAATTAAAAACAAATATATATTAGGCTAATGACATTCTCTGAGACATCATCTTTTGGTCTTAAGATTAAAAGACTTAAAGGACTTTTTTGCCCTGTTAACGCACACTGGTATCAAATTTGTTGTTCTATCTTACTAATTCGTGCAGTCACTCAACGCAAATAAGACAAGATTCCCAGACGTACCTGATCCTTATTGACCTCTCTATGATGTATGGTTCGGACTGTCCGTCCAGAATTATCTCTTCCTCCACAACCCCACCAACTGCTCCCATCTCAAAGAAATCAGTCGGCCGCACTCTGGCCTCAGACATGGTTGTATTAGATAATAAATAAGGTATGTACGACACAAATCCTAACTCCATATTGACGTCAAATCCACATATTCTGTCCTTGATTTGTGAGAGTTCAGTGAATCCCCAAAAGTTCCATCTGGCATCATGCTCGCGATCTTTCTTGAATGGGGCCACCTTAAGCTCACACAATGCATTTGGATTGAAGAAGGAATTGTTTTGAATCTCTGTTTCGTATATTTCAATAAGAAGTACATTGGTAACTTGGTTGTGAACCATTGAATTGTTATGGATTTTAATGTTTGAAAATGTACTGTCATCTTTTGGCATATGAATTATACTAGAGGCACTATTGTTCATGAACATGTTTCCAGAGATGTCTATCACTGAACTGGCTTCTATATCAGTTATTCCTATCACAGGAGCACTACTTTTAAAGGCTTTGTTATTGTTGAATTTATTTGTTGTTATATTTACATTATTTCCTTCGCGACTGTTAAATTTTATACGGAGAATCTGGCCTGTGTTATTAATATAGGTATTGTTAGCAATGAACAATGACATTCGTGCTTTGATAAGGGAATAGTCGAATTCAAATACATCTGCCATGTTGCCATTAAATACATTTTCTTCAAATAGTAAGCTTCCAGATGTGATGGAAAATCCCCCTATATAGATAACGCTTCTGAAGTGAAAACGTGTCTCCCATTTATATTTTTTGTATCGTGTGTCATGTTCTATCAAACTGCTTCTCAGGACACTCAGTCGCACTTCTCCCTGGTCGCCGCTTCTCCCAGAAGATAGATATATAGCATACCTTTTGTTATATTTCACAACACTGTTTGTTAGGGCTATATCTAAATACAAGGAAAATTCGGAACCCATCCCAATTAGATTCCCTGCAACAGTACAGTTATTCAGCGTTACGAGGCCATATGCTGATAAATATAGCCCATACTTTCCATTTCCAGATAGCACACAACCAACCACAGTCAGTCTGGTGTGTTTATTTATGCCGCGTACAGTAATACCATGCAAACCATTGAAAGATGATTCTATGCCCTCCAAGATGGGCAGGGATGTCCCATACTCGGAGAGAGTAAAGCCACTGGCCTTTGAGAAGAAGGACTTCACATTTGATATTTTAGTAATATTCCCGACTAAAACTAATCCTTCAAGTGTGTCATTAATCTCTAGATATTCAAGCTGGGTATCAGGGGTGGGAGCTGAAAAACAAAGAATGCAAGTTTAATATGATATCAGAAAGGCACATGAAGAATAACGTCATGGTTTCTGATTGGTTTGTTTGTTAGTGGTCTAACACCGCTTTCAGCAATATTCCAGCTAGATGACGTATGGACCAGACAATCCAGTGATTGACATCAGGAACATCGATTTACGCAATTGGGATACTATGACATGCTTCAACCAAGTCAGCAAGCCTGACCACCCGATCACGTTAGTCGTCTCCTACGGCAAGCACAGTCGCCTTTTACAGCAAGCATAGGCTGCTAACCCGGATCTTTACGGGACTGATGGCTCTTGAAGAGTACTTAAATGCTTAATATACCTTTGAGATAATTCCCTAAGCATCTGACGCTGATATCTTCGGAATGATAACATCCCGTTCTTTTGTTGATACACTCGTCAACATGTGATTCGTTGCCAACACAGTGTAACTTTGTATATTTGATTTCCCCTGAACCACCTCCAAATTTTGATCGATCATAATACTTCACACCACCTTCAGGACTAAAAAAAAAGGAAACAAACAATAGTAATACATTACTACAATTACAGCGCAGAGCATCGATAGACTAATTGGTACCATATGTTAAGATAACATGTAATTGGAATATAAATATGAAGAAGGATGAACTTGATACAATAACAACAGGAATTCAGTTTCTTTAGCAATAGTTATGACGACGATAACAGCGGGACTGTAACAGTAAAATACATACTCAAAGCCTGCCATTCTGCAAACCACATTAGCATCACGGATATCAAAGTCATCATCACAGATGGTGCTGTATGCACTTCCAACCAGAACCTCGACTCTTCCTTCGCGCTCATCAGTACCACCAGCAAACCGTACGATCCCTAAAAGTTTATGAAGTATATATTCAACACGTAGCGTGAAACCTCGGCAATCCAGATGATATCATTCCTAATGTAAATGTTCAAATTAACGAACCATGGCTGCAAAGTAATGTGTAATGTGTCCTTAATGTAAAGTGTCTGGATTATTAACGGTGTTCGTACTCTCGAGCGTTTACGGTATATCCTCAGGAATCTAGGAAAATATTATATGCTAGTATTTTTACGTTTTATTTACAACAGTTTGTGTATACTTACGTAGTTGTCCTGTCACTTTCACTCCCTCCCAGGGTATACCTGCGTTGGCCGGGTGGAATCGAACAGGCATATCTCTCGATCCTCTAACATAGAGATTCCCTAAACAAAGACTTTACAATGAACATTGACATATCTATCGCGTTTAAGGTTAGCGTTATCAAATATTCCATGGCAAAACAGTACCAAGAATCGAAAAACAGTTTTCCAACATAAACAGTATGATTGAATATGATAAGTATAGCTTCCATACCTTCAACTCGCATTCCAACGCTGTCTTCAAACAGAAGTTGTACGCCAGCATCTATTATCAGAGTGTCTTCTCTGCCAACAATAATGTTACTCAGGACAGTGTATGGACTTTGTGCTCTGGTTAGTGTAAAGGTTCCATCAACAGCACCACCTAATGTTCCGTTTGAGTCGAGAAAAGGTGTAGTCTCCATAAGTTCTAGCATTTCTCTATCTTTGAAGAATGGCATGATGGATATTTCAGGTAAGGCCACATCGTTAGACTTGTCATATATCTTTACTTTGATTTCTGAAAATTTGTCCTTTCCCCAATAGTTCTTGCTTGCGTTGATTATGGTATTTCTGAAATCCTTACTGGCGAATTTTATAAAGTAGACTAAATTGGTTTCAAACACATTGTGTCTAATAATAACATCGGGCGTTTTCAAAATAAGCAGACAAAACCTGAACACGTTCATGGTTATATTCATCTTCTCATTGAGAGTTTGTTGAGATTTTAGTTCCATATTCCCAACATTAAAATTGTTTTCCCTTATAAAAACCCTGTTGAGAGCATCGCCGCTAAGATCTATATTAGCAGTTCCTGATGGAGCATAAAAGGAATTATTAACCACTTCAACATCTAAATATTGACCTTTTATCATGAATACGCGCCCCTCTTCTACGTTGAACGTGTTGTTCAGAAACATTACAGTGGTCAATGTTTGTGCTGATTCACATAATATACCACCTGTATGAAAAACAGAACCAGTTGCCCTGAAAGCATGTGGGGCCGCTTCATTTTTTGTGGTGAAAATCTTTACTGACCTCGAGGTGAATTCAGAGTCCTCCAATAAAATATTTCCATATTCATTCTTTGTTGACGCCCCTGGACACGTTGACAACGTTATATCATTCTTTGATGTAACTAACTGAGACTTTGATATTGTTACATTGAAGCGGTGAGATCGTAAGGTTAGAGTATCAATTTCAACAGAGCTATGTGAGAGGGAAAATGCCAGGTACATGGAACAGTTTGTATTTCGGTCGCCTGCAATTGTTCTTGCTGCTTTCAGTACTCCATGGGTTATTTCCAGATCTACAATGAAGGATACTCAAGATTGTAATGGTTCATTTATTAAGTTACAGTGCTTTCAGAAGCTAATCCAGAACAGTAAGGGTAATCATGTTTTATAATCATTGGGTTTATTTATGATTGACATGCGAAAACACAGAACTGAAAGAGTGACCATTGTTTGTATCAATGTACATTTACTTACTGCTACTCGTGAGCATCACACCTCCCCATCTGCTTTTGGTGCCATTTTGTAAAATCACAAGTCCAGTTGATGATCCATTAATTTTCAGTGAACCTGTGAAGACAGATTTTCTTAACTGATATGCAATTTCGTTCCTTTGTGTAAACACGCTCTCCTTCATAAGTTATCTTCTGTATTACAGCATTAAACATTACACGCTGACCTGACAGTTACCGCTGATTGTCAACATGGCATATATATTTACCTTTAACTATGACACCTTGGGCTCCATGGAATGAAAGTGTGACATTTGGCATGATGGTCAGCGTGTTTCCTTCAGGTACTACAATAGTTCTCTTCACCACCAGGCTCTGATCTGGATGAAGAAGAACATCACCCTGCAGCACGCCTCCAACGTCAGAGGGGTCGTCGTCGGTGAAGATGGTCGTCCCACTTGAAGTCATCTCCATCGACTTGGATGTGAAGTATGGGTCAATCTGTATCTCAGCTCTGCTGATGTTATAATACACATCGTATATCCGTGAACGGATTCCCCTTTTGTCTGTGATACCCCAGTAGTTTCGACTGGCATCAACGACAGTTTGATCATCATAAAGCGCGAATGTAATTAGGTCATATGTTGAGTTTGGAGTTTCAAATACATTTCTGTATATTCTGCTGTTTGATCCCGTCAGTTTCAAAGAACCTACACGTGAACTATTTCTAAATACATTGTGCGCAATGGCAGCTCCATCAGCATATAGGTACAATGCGTAGCTCCCAAAGGAATCTTCAAAACTATTTTCAGAGACGTTGATAGGTATCTTTGCATAGTTCGAATATGTATTACCTTCATACGCAATTATATCGCTGGAATCTCCAAAACATGTCATGTTGTTGCCTATGATATTTACAGAAGCAAACCTGCTTCGGAGTAAATCTTCAAGAGAGACATATATTGCATAGGCTTTGCTATTGGTTACATCACCTTGAAATTTGTTGTAAGTGAGCGATATGTTAAAAGTGTGCCTGTACGTATCAGACTTTACATATACACCTGCGTAGGTATTCTTTGTGAATTCACAGTCCGTAATTCTCACAAGACTATTGACTCTGTTGAGCCAGGCATCCACATGAAGGCCATGCTTGTTGCGTTCAAAAATACATGAAGAGATATTGAGGATTCCGTTTAACCTTTGATCAATGTTAATTCCTTCATTTGAATTGAATCTAAATTTTGAATTTTGAAGTAACGTTATCCCAGCATTACTTCTCGTTAGTCCTACTCTGTTGTCGTCAACACGAGATGATTCTATGTTCACATAGCCAGAGTGTGACAGTTTTAAGCCAAACTGTGAATTCCCCGTAATGTTACTCTCGATGACGGTCAACCTAAAACCTTCATCTCCGGAGGCTATTCCTGAATCTCCATTGGATCTAACGTTACATCGAACCAACTCTACGTCACACGGGCTTGAAAGCAACAATGCATTTTTGCCATTTTGTTGAAAAGTACACCCCTCAAAGAAAAGTCCACTTCGAGATACCCAATCACTAGATACGATTAAACCACTATTCAAACTTTGTGATATTTGAAGCCGGTGAAATGATTTTGTTCCAGAACCTCCATTTGTTAAAATAATGCCATTTGAGTTTAAGTAAACTTTTGTGTTGTTGAGGGACATAGAGTCGGGGGGCCCCATTACACCCACTTTGGCATGTCTTATTGTGCAAAAGTCGCAGGAAAATACACCTGGAAGAAATAAAGAAAACATAAAGAAAATATATTGTCGATATTCAAAGTTTAGTCATATGAGCTATCAAAACATACTTATCTTCTCATCAATATCGATACGTGTTTACTGAGAGGCCATAGGCCTATAGTACATGTTATATAGTCATAGGTGTATATACAGTTATAAGGTAACATATTTAAAACTGCTTAGCTTCATAGCATGCAATATGTACATTGCCAGTTTTTTCGTTATTACTACATTCTTAATTGACATTAACGAAACAAATTTCTGTTAACATGGATAACGGATATAATGTTTATCAATGAACTGTTTTCTGAGTTCAGCATAGAACGGACAAAGTAGTAAGCAATGGTATGCACTTTCTACAGTGTTTAAATCATAAAACTGATAAAGTCTGTGTTCTCTCACGACCCCCATATATCTTCCCGTCTCGATAAATAGTTCGTGTGAACCACATCTGAATCGTGCAAGTGCAATTCGAAAAGTTTTGAGTATTACATTTAATAAGTATTGCTCTCCACAGAAGATGTTTGTAAAGAGGGAATAACTTGATAGTTTCTTGGATACTGGATATTATCTACACATAACACGTTTACTTATTTAAATACAGTAACAAATGTGTGTTTGTGTGTGTGAGTACCTGCTGCTATACGATTTTTTTACAACCATCAAAATTGGTAGCATACAGTATCCCTGTACCTGTTTGTTCTGTTCTAAGACCTTGCCAAAGAGTTTGTGCTGCAGTAGGAACATCACTGGACCAGAACGATATGGGCAGGCCTAGAATCCCAGCCGCAGTCAGTGAACCTTGAATGAAAATATACCTGCTGATTAGTTTTTGTACGCAATTAATTGCGTCAATTGTCCAATTAATGAAAATATACATCATCATGTAAACATAAATAAGATAGAATACTCGCGTTTGGTAGAATTATGATCACTGCACACAAACTGGTTGATTAGTTAAACTAAGAAAAAAGAAATCAGAATGTTGGATTGATATTCCAAACTCACTGATGCACACATGTTATGTGTAGGTTTAATGTTTCCTAATGATGAAATGAAAAAGTCTTGGTATTATATCATGACTGCCTGTCAACAAACTACCTGAGTGTCCATGTGTAAGACTCGAGATATTACTGTTCTTTAAAATAGCAGTAAATATAATTATGCAAAGTTATGTTGTTCGTATGAATATTTTGTTCGTATTCCCTGATCATGACGATGCCAATTTAATTTAATTAAATTACAGATCAAGTTTTAGTTTCGGTTGTATTTGAAGTAGTTTTAACGACGATGAAGTCAAATAAGTTATCACTCCATCAAAGGTTTGTTTCTTGCGCAGTACCGATCATGAAACCAAAATATCATACCACGAATGAGGATACCAGCATCGGTTGCATTGAAAATAACCATGACTCCAGGCTGAATTTGTAGATGAGTAGAAGGGCGAACAGTGACCTGGACATTGAGAACGTATGGACTCCCACTTGTTGTCCATATAGTGTTACCCTGAAAACAAACATACAGATAAGTCCCATCAAGTCTTTTCTATTTGGATCAGTAAATATTGTTGCATAAGTGCTATGATCGCTCACTTATAACGCTGCATCCTATTACCATTATCATGGATATAAGTAGACAAAGAAATATTTATTCATATAAGATCAGTTACATACGGATAACTGAATGTTGCAGTGTTAAGAATTCTATTAATTCGTGATTTTCGATCTAAAATGTGCTCAATGATACCATAAAATTAATGAACATATTTTCTTTACCAACTAAAAATGTGAAAGGGAATGTTTAAATTCAACTGTTCAATATACTCAGGAAGTAATAGCGTACCCTTATATCGCTGTTTATCACTGTAGGGTCTCCCTGGTCAACAGAGGTGTTGCAGCCATAAACCTCAAGGCGTACACCAGAGTAGGCGGATCTCGAGCTGATGGCAACATATCTCGCCTAAACACGCATAACGAACAATGATAACTACTCGGTTATATATAATGTATTATATTATACCATTAAATCTATTAATGCAAATGAGTAGATGCCAGGATGCCATCAATTACACAAACTATGAAATCATCTTTCAGTTCTTAGTAAAACACTGTTTCGTACATGTGCTATATATCTTCGTATATTTTTTCAAGCAGATATTGATTTTTAATAAATGTGTACAGTGACATTTTACACATGATTAACAATTTTAACATCATTTCTTTCTTAATGTATGCACAAACCTTCATACCCAGGAGTAAATCCCCCCCCCCCCACCCATCCCCCATCCCCCACTCTTTATGTGTATATTCTATATACATGTATTTTGTAAATGGGGTTGTGTCCAGTTCAACTACGTACTTTAACTGGCGAATCCAGATCTGTTCTGACAACATCGAACCAGGATTCGGATGAAACGTCAATATATTCGTTGCCATGGTTATCTTTGTATGTTTCCCACACAAGTCCATCCAAGCTGTAGAAAAGCGACAACGCTTTTATCGCTCTGCGGAGGGCTCCCTGTACAGAGAGTCCAGTTATCTTCCTATAGTCCAGGAAGTCAATTTTCAAGTAATCTTTTGTGGACCGAGGAACCCATCCATCTGACAAGTCAAAACGTGAAATTAAAGGTTTTACTTTCAGGCTTCGTGTTAAGCATAGGTACATGCAAGCTTTTCGAAATCGTTCTCATAGCCAAATGACAAGGTAGACACACAAAAATCAACTTTTTTTTAATGTGAAATGCATGCATATTTAATTACTTTTATGTATATTAATACAAATTACATGATTGAAAAATCATATACACCAGTCTCGAGGATATCATTCAGATTATACTATAATATAATACAATGTAATTGTGAAGATTGACAAAATACTCATCCTTACATTGACCACGAAGTCTTGCTGTAGACGGCGGGCGGTGTACATACGGAGAAGATGAGGCTGTTATTTGGCTATCCTCTACGATGCCACTTTCAAGTCCAAGAGCTTCATTACACTGCCCATACACTGGAACAGGCCGCAAGTAAAAATAGTTACATTGTTGCAATAGTTACATCTGAGTTGCTCGGCAATCTTGCTGAGGGTAAAAAGAGTAGTCTAGAGACCCCTGTAAGAGGGCCTACTTATTGTGATTGCTAAACTTTGCGCTCTGCCGCTGCCGACGACAACGCCACAGTTGTTGTTGTTGTTTTCACGCGTCCATTCGTCACCACTCGCCCCTTTCCGTAACCTACAAGCTTAAGAAGACTCGTCCCCCTATCGATGAATGTTATGTGGGAAAATACGATAAACCAATCAGAATGCGCGTTTGATTTCAAGTTCTTCGTCAAAGAATCCCTCAGAAATAATTTTTGATTTTGCATATGTCTTACATCTAAAGATATACCGAAAACACAGTTAAATGTGTTCAATCATACTGTACAATTTCGTACGTCCCGATGGGTTTTAAATTGCATCTGAAATATATATTATATATGGGGAAATATATGTGAACCATTAAGGAACAAGTTGACAATTGTTTTAGGTATGCCCGTTTGCGCTAAGACGGAAACGGTCGCAAAAATGGCTACGAGAGGGGCACGAGTCGCGAATGCGGAACTACTTTTTTCATTCATAAATGTTTACAACAAAATCCTACCAAACGTACGCCCAACGTAATACAGGTCTTAGACGATTGCCACTTTGAACAAACAAACGAACAAGCTCAAACAAGCTCAAGCAAGAACAAACAAGCTCAACCATGCTCAATCAATCGTTTAGAATGTTCGAAATCCCGCGGGACGGGCATCAAGTGATGTATATATATTTGCAGTGATGCAGGGCTCCGACGATTACTGCTTTGATCAATCAATCAACCAACCAACCAACCAACCAACCAACCAAACAACCAACCAATCAATCAATATGCTCACTGGTTAAGTAGACCTGCACCCAATTAATCAATCAAGGAAGGGGCTCAATGAAGGGGCTCAAGCGTTAAGTTGACCTGCAATAAATGTATTCAGTTCAAACAATGAAAATGAATGATTTGGCTGTTAGAATGTTATTGGTCAAGTTATTGTTTGACAGACTTATTTGGATATGGACACAATGTTGTGCCAGTGTCTAGGAAATTTGAAATCGTGCCAACATTATTGTTTAATATTGTACAGTAAGCAAGAGAGGGCTGCACATGTACCTCCAATACAGAGTCATCCAATAAACTTAAACATACGTGAGTAAGTGAGTGAGTATGGCTTTACGCCGCTTTTAGCAATATTCCAGCAATATCACGGCGGGGGACACCAGAAATGGGCTTCACACATTGTACCCGTGTCGGAAATCGAACCCGGGTCTTCGGCGTGACGAGCGAACGCTTTAACCACAAGGCTGCCCGACCGCCCCTTAACTTATATGTAGTTACGTTACAGTATATATTGAAGCATATAGTAAATTAATTTTCGAAATATATGATTATTGAGGCAAGCTCAGCTTGTGACAAAATAGGTCTCGTAACTTATTCCACGCTAATTGAATGCATAAACACAAATCTGGAGCTGCATATAATAGGACAGAGAGCGGGTCTAGCTTCGTATTTATCGACCGTGTCTTTTCAAAACATTGTCCATTGTGAGGCATTTAGTGTACGTATTGTGGTTTTATTGAACAGGAAGACCTCATCCGTGGACTACAGGTAGAGCGTCCGCCCGGGGAACGGAAGGTCGGGGGTTCGATCCCCGGCCGTGTCACATCAAAAGACGTTAAAAAGTGGTACTTGTTGTTGCCCTGACTGGAGCTCACCATTAAAGGGCTAAAACAAGGACTGGTCGGTTTGGAGTCAGTGTGTTGTGTCTTACACACAAACACACACATGCATGCACCTCACTACAAGTGGAATAATGTTGGACGCGACGTTAAACCCCATTTCACCTTCAGTACGTGACAAGGCAGATCGATATTCACAAGGATATTCGACTACGAAATTTGCTATTTTACATAAGGTTACATACATTTTCATGACAGATAGTCTTTAATGGCAAGCTAAGCACACAACCCGTCACACTTTGATGAGGGTCACTCTAAGTGTCCATTCCGTACATGCATTTTCCTACCTCCACAAATATCTGTCTTCATCACTAGTTTGAGCTTTGTCATCGCTGCGCAATCCCTAAAGAACCATTATAACAAACTCATCTTAGGTAATATTCTGTAAAATAATAATAATAGGACAGACTTGTATTATAACAATTCTAGAGTAAGAATTCCTTGGTTGTCATTCTATATGTACACTTGCATAATGTGACAGGCCTTGCCTAACTGAAGATATCTTGTGTAGGAATGAATAGGACATGGTAGCGTAACTACCGCAAGAAGTGTTTGCATGTTACAGCAGTTTTTATTACAATTCACTTGGGTACACTTACTGGGATTTACCATAGTCTGTTTGGCGGTTCACCTCAGTGTTATATTATCACAATTCACCGCGTTATTACTATATATTGATATTTTAGACAAATGATTGTTTAACACAACATCGCATAATAATCACGTCTTCTCTCACAACCATACTGATTGAAGGTAAGATTTATTTGAGGTTCTTGCAGTAACGTTACGACACTCACGTGTGGAATTCTATTTCCATTTACTCTGTGACTGGATGTTTGTCGTCTTGCATGAATGAATTTCCAAGATCCTGTTTGACAATTTTTTTGGGATATACATACATGTAGTTTTATCACATGTTGTTTATCTCTTGACACTGTCTTACATCCTGAAACCCATTATGTGTGTGGTGTGTATATATGTTGTGATGTGTGGTGTGTGTGGAGTATTATTGTGTGTATGTTGTGTGTAGAGTTCGGTGGAGTGTTTGTGTGTGGGGTGTGTGTTCGGAGGAGTGTGGTGTGTGTGTGTGTGTGTGTGTGTGTGTGTGTGTGTGTGTGTGTGTGTGTGTGTGTGTGTGTGTGTGTGTGTGTGTGTGTGTGTGTGTGTGTGTGTGTGGAGGTGTGTGTGTGTGTGGAGGTGTGTGTGTGTGGTGTCTGTGTGGAGGGTGTGTGTACATTATGAGACACCTTAAGATAACCATCTACTCTTGTGAGTTAGTTTGGCTTCACTTTAATTAGTATTTCAGCATTTCACCTCCATGTGTCCGAAGAACAAATTGATGCTGCAGGTCTTATGCGTTTACCACTTTTATGAAACATGGATACCGTGCCTAGAAGTCAGGGCGAATCTGGCATTCGAACGGAAGGAACGCAACTCTAGAGAAACAGGGAATTGCAACTGGGCATCAAGTGCTCATCTAAACTGAAGTAATACCGAATTAAAATATAACTGTTTGGGTGTCCCTAGGATATAACATGTATGTGGTTGAGCTCATGTACATGCAAAGAGCCAGGGCATCACTTTGTAACCACATTAAATGTATAAGCACAATGCAAGGACTTTGACTGTGTAGACCTTAAATCGGTCAAGAGGAAATACTGACGTTGAATCATTGAGGTATATCAAATGCTTGGATGATATGATGAGATTCACGATGTATTCGATTTTCCAAACCGCGATAAGTCCACGACAATTATTAATAACCGGCTTATTTTGCATAGTAAGTGAGTTTAACCTAGCTCGGTACAGTATTTCAGTAACCGCGGGTCAGCGTAGTGCGAGAGATGTGAAACCCACGATCCCCGGGATTGGAATCAGGGTGAATATGGGATTTGAACCAATGATCATATTGTTAATGGCATTACAAAATAATAATAACTGAAAGTAACAAAGACTATGGATCCAATATGAATATTTTCCACACGTCATTAACAACGATGTGCATAACATCACACAAATGAAGAATACAAAAATAAATAAATAATAAATCCTTTCACCACTTTTCATACCATGGTGACTGAGTGGATGTTGTTTAACGCCGCATTCAGCTATGTTTATAGCTACATGCATGTCACTGTGACAGGTAAATAACTTGGTTTGGTCCAATCTGTTTGTGCGTGTTTTTGTATTGTCAACGCACAAGTTGACGGGGAATTACAATTTGGGGCAATAAAGGACAAAATCGACATCACTCTCTCGGAACGCTTTATGCACAACATGTAAACAATAAACAACAATTGCACAATGAGCGGAATACCTGCTCTGAAAACACAAACACAGCGATGAGCGGGCCTTCCAGTTCATGATCAGGCATACATGAGGTGAGCGGACGTTTCGTGCGAGCGGCACATCCTGCTCGAGGTCGTCCCTACACCAGCACTCGGAATACCAAGCTTGACTAACACCATGTAATGGTAACACATATATAGTAATGAACAACAATGGACAGACAATGGCGTTGCTCTGGACATGGGACTTCTGGGGATGGTGAACCGCATTGCTCAGGGGATGAACAATTAAGGCAATAAATGTCATTCTATAAATAACAGCAATTAACAGGAAGTGATATAGTAGCCCAGGTTGGCTGTGACTCAATATACAATGAAATTGTGGCGAGGATTAACAACGAGGATTAGCGCTTAATACATTATGACAATTAAGTTATAGACATGCACATGTCTAAAGGGTAATTAGCCTTTGGAATCAAATGTTTCTCAGACAATGGTTGTCGTAAATCAGTCGCTATGACAGTATGTATGTGCGTGTACGAGCATTTAGGTACTTTTGTCTGTCCAGATGTCTGTCAGTCTGTATGTACCATCGTATATATATATATATACTCACACTTTCATACTCTCTCCCATGCCCCAGCCCGGGCTAGGTTAAAACAAGAAATGCAGTTAGATCCGCTATCTGCATAGCTGTCATAGAGCTCCTAAAGCCAAGAATTGCAAAAGCGAAGGCCAAACTAACTCTATTTCTAAGAGATGGACAGCTACTCGAACGTATAAAAACAGAGCAGCCAAGGATAAAAATGAAATCATATCAATATAAGAAAATAGAAATCATATCAATACAAAAACAGAAATTATGTGAACACCGAACTCACAATAGATATGTGTACCCTTTTCACACACAGGAGTCCCAAAGAGGGAAAGGTCAGCCGAAATTGCCTAGACAGAAAGCGACCTCTTGAACACTTAATGCAACAACAACAATCATATTCTCACGCTCTCACACACTCACAGGTCACCGATCCTCGATGGCCTTTAGTCTACTCTTACGACAATCTTGAGAACTGCATCCCACAACGGAGTCTCGCACACTCTGTTCATATCATAATGCAGGAATGTACACAACCTTTCATTTCTAGCTGCAGTTAAAATCTATATGGGGCGACACGCCACTATAAATAAACCACTTCACCTACTGTGACCTAGTGACTGTGACCCACTAGGTCACAGTAACTCGCAGACGGTGAGCACGAACTACCAGTAAACAAAGGACATGTTGAGAAAATATTCACATACCGGCAGTTGTTGAAAGCATCAGTAGCAGCAACCGTACGAGTAGCAGGTCGCCCATCATTTTCGCTTTCCCAATGGCAGTTTTAAGCTCCGCTTCATTTCTTATGTAAGTCGCAAGAGTCTCGGTATTTGGGAATTGCGTCTTACATACGCCGGGACAACATCCGCCACCAGGCGTGAGGCAGAGGGAGGCCCGGAGTTACTCAGGCATGTCACGGGCACAGGATCTACGGTAGCTACTCGGGGACATATCTCACAACAACAACGGGTGTGAAGACTCATTTGTTTGTTTGTTGTTTAACACCGCACTCAGCAATAATCCAGCTATACGACGGCGGTCTGTAAATAATCGAGTCAGGACCAGACAATCCAGTGATTGACATCATGAGCATCGATCTATGCAATTGGGACACAATGACATGCATCAAGCGAGCCTGACCATCCACGTGTGGAGTTGACTCATATGGTTTTAAATATATTATGTATAGCCTGATTTATGTATGATCTCTCGCAACTATTTTAGAATGGCTTGTGTACTTTTATAATAGATTACCGCCTCTGTGGTCTAGTGGTAGAGGGTCAGCCCGGAGAGAGGAAGGTCCGTGGTTCGATCCCCGGCCGCGTCATGCAAAACGACGTTTAAAGATGATACTTGTTGTTACCCTGTCTGGCGCTCGGCATTAAGGGGCTAAAACAAGGACTGGTCGGCTCGGAGTCAGTATACTGTGTCTGAGTGGGGTATTCATGTTAAACTGCGGCATGGTATCTCAGTGAGCTAGCACTATAAATCGGCATCAGTCCGGACTAGTACAAACACACACACACGTACATGCACGTCGCTATATAAGTGCAATAATCTTGGACGCGACGTTAAACCCCATTTCACCTCACCTTTATAGTAGATTATATTATTTTATGTACCGGTATATATTGCTGCACATGAGGTGAGACCCTAATAAACTGTCTGTCTGTCTGTCTGTCTGTCTGTCTGTCTGTCTGTCTATGGATGTCAATTTATAGTACCTTTATTAAGCAAGTGATCGCACTAAGACCTTGTATCAAGAAGTCGAATTGAGTGTATGTCGAACTCCATGAAAGTCACCTCTGTCTTCATTGATACAGAGCTTCTCAAATGCTGCTTATAGTTATAGAGAGCCAATACACACTGATATGAATACCTTTATCACAGGTTATTTGTAAAAGGAATCTTATCCGCGGTCTGGTGAACATGTTTATAAACAACAAGCGTTGACTATGATTCTGTGCTGAGCTGGAAGTGAATATAGCCCAGACAGCAAATAGAGCATTTCCTGTTTTTCATTTGTGGAAGGCGTGCTCGGTGTGTGGATGTCATAACGTGGCTCCTTGTTTCCACTGATACAATGTGACATAATTCAGCGTAGGGAACAGGTCAAAAGTTCGATATGTCGGATAAAAAGTTTAATTCCTTAAGTTTTGGTTGTGTTGGGGAGTAACAGTCCTGAATGTGTTCCATCCGCCCAAATTATACAATCTTCAAGAGATTTATTTGTAAGTCAATTGATAACATTAATAATATTATTTTCCCTTTGGTGTAATGGGACACGCGTGCACAGTACCTATAGACGGTGAGACAGCCAAGTGATTAAAGAGAAGAAGAAAAAGGAGAAGAAAATTATTTTATTTACGTGTCACACACTGTACAACAATGACAATAAAAATACACAAATAGTGTGTACAGTGTCCGGCCATTATGGCCTACGAGACACGCAGGACGTCTCATACAAATGAGTAAAAATGAGAAATATCACAGTATATACATATAGATAAAAATGAGTTATCACCAGTTATCACCAGTTATCAGAACATTCTGATACTAAGATACATTGAACTAAGTTGGTAGAGACGAAAGACACAGTCGTCTTCGCTGATACATGTGATGAAGAAGCGCGGCTAGGGGTCTGACCACCTTATTGTTCCCCATAAAGAACACGGTCCGATCGGCAGCGGACATCTGTATAAAGTTTGGAGTTGATTGAGAAGCTAAATTCCATAAATCATAGCGTAAATCTATATAGAGAGAACATTCAGCAAAAAAGTATATTTCATCCTCAACAGCATTGCAATTACAGAATTTACACATACGTTTAATAAGCAGTGTTTTGGGGCGGGTGAATCTTCTCAATTCTATTTCTAATGGCAGTGAGCCGCAGCGAAACTTACTTAAAATACTGCGCTGACATATGTTCATCAATAAACTGACATAGGGTTCTACTGATAAAGCATCTTTAAACAATCTGTATGTACGTAACTTATTACCATTTACCTGGCCCGTATCGTTCCAGAGTCCATGTAACCAATCAGAATGGTCTAAAGGATAACAGACATACTTTAGACAAGTTAAACTCTTCAGTAGAAATATTATTCAGATCATAAATTGGTAAATGTAAACTGACAAAGTAGTTGAAAACTGTATTATTAAAGAGTTCGATCCAAACGCGGATGTTTACAATTTGTAAAGTTCATTTCTGTTTACAATTGTGTCCATTTTGGTTAAACGGTGTTGGAATAAGGCTAAAAGCGGCGTAAAACATAAATAAACATAATAAATAATGCATAAATCATTGAGAAGCAGTATTCGCTTGACCATAGAATCTCATCAGTTTGTTTTTGTTGTTCTTGGGTGAGGTAAGTGTGGGGTATACGTCTCTTACGTCTACGAACTTCTCTCTGCTATTGTGTATCATGAACTTTAACTATTGCATGCATTTTCATAGTGTACAAATAAAACGTATCTCTTGGGTCAACATGAAGTTAAACATTTCATACAGTGTCACGAAGTAAACACTAAACTAACATATCACAATTGCTGATACAACGGGAGCAGATTGAGGATATATTGGGTAAGAATTGACTTAAGCTATTATACAGTGATAGATGGGTAACACAGATTGACAAAGAAGCCTAGTCAGGATAGAGATAAAAGCTGAAATAAATGCAAGTGCAATCTGCCAACAGAGGGCGCTGGCACAACCTTTTCCAGGCTTGACGGAAATAGCCGATCGTGAGATTGACCAGACCAAGTGTCTTTTTCACAGGCTTTGCGGAAAAAGCCGAACGGGAGATTGGTGAAAGTGTCAAATTGTGATACAGCGTGTTGTCTCGTTATACAATTTAAAAAATTAATTTATAACATATCGAAACGATGACAGGTCTGGCCAGATGGTTACTTCCACATCGTACTATTCATAACTGCAAGATTCATATTGTGCGACAATTATTGTTTTAAACATTTAGCAAACATTGAGTAGTACATGGAATAAAATATAATCTTCTTTGGGCCGAAGTTTACATATGTCCCAATGTGTACATATTAACGTTTGTTGCACGATTACAGAGTGAGTTATACTTTGACTGAAATGAAGCCAACGTGTTACTTAGTAAATATTTCAAGTTTTTCAAGATCATGAAACTGAAGGCAAGAATATTTGAACAGTATTTAAGTAGTATCATGGCGTTTCACCTTATTATGGGAGGTAAGTCCTTGACTTATACTACCTGGTGAAACCAACGTACACGGCTATGGTGCTCTCAAGTCTATAGAGACATGATCCAGGAACATACTCCCGTAATCACTGTATCCTTTCTCGCCAAGGGCAATTTGCGACGCTTAACAGCCACCTGTATCCCAACGTTCCTATAAAAGCAGTAGATAATGCAAAGTGTCATCCAGGACTACTTATATTTACAGAAGGCAGTGCCCTGTTTAACCAATCACTAGACAGATGACCCCAATGGTACTTTCGTATCTCTCTGTTGCATAAGAAGAATGCTAAGATAAATATTTACGAATAAGATCTTCTCCACAGCAATATTTACTTTTCTGTATTTCCTTTATTTGTAAATAGAGGGTCACTTAAAATGTGATGTTTTTCTACACTGTTGATACAAAAACGTGAACAAATATGAACAATACACTGAGCTAACAGCCCCATTTATAACGTAGAGAGAAGGCTAGGACTTTAGGTCTATGTTCACGTTTGGGAGTTGCTATCGTCTCAGCACACAGATCGCTTTGTGGTTCGGTGTGCGAGGCTTAATTAATTCATACAAATGTCACGGGATGTCCTCTCTTACCCGGCACTCTGCAGAGATTTTTTACAGGGGCACTGATCTAAAGCAACTCCCTGGGACTGGTTGTTGCCTTTGTTATTGTTTTATCCCGTGAGTACCCGGATGATATAGCAGAAACCTAGACTAGTTCGCGACCTGTGAGGCGCAATTCGTAAGCGCATTTGTCACTTTTATTGATAGCATAAGGGCGTATGGTCACATTGATCAACAAAATGAAATATAGTTTTTGAAATAATAAAGAAATGTAGGTATCTTTGTGGGGAGCATCGGCAATGGTGACGAAATTTTGATAAGTCACTTGCTTGGTAATTGTGCGATTTTCGTTTACACTATTTTGACTTGCAACACAAAGTAAATATTTCTCCTGAGCATTGCTTATTTTATCGTGTTTATATTTTTACAGTCAAAATGTGTCAAGGTTTCACAGGAAATTTATTAAACGCCTGAATATCCAGTTATTTTACAACTTGACTGAAAAATATGTCCAACGACTTCCAAACATTTTTATGTTTAATGTCATCACCAAGAGAGCCAACATGTTACGATGAAAAGTACATTTCTATATTGTTTGGCTTCTAATCCTACATAATAATCTATTGTGATGTTTTTAGGCCCTTTTGATCGTCTTAATGAATTTTAGTCAATCTGTTTAAGAAATGGGCAGATTTTTCAGTCAAAATGACTGAAATATTTACACATTTTACACACGTAATTTGCCTAGGAGAATCACATTTTACAAACTGACTGTAATATATACACGCTTACAAAGGAAGAGACTTGTGAAAACAACGTCTATCGCGCATCGAAGAATTTCCCAACCAAGACTTAGAGGAACAAGAATGAATCTCTCCAATGCTACAGCAAATGAAGGAAAACAAAATGCAAATATCATAATTACAACCTACCAAATTTATGTGTATAATTTTAGGCAGCGTCCTTGTTCGAGGAATGTATCCGTGAATATCATCACAAAGGAACAATATCCAACACGTCTGCAGCTGTACAAAGAAACTTATTCGATGTCACGTGTCTCTGTAACAATCAAATATTTTAAAATA